AATATGTTAAAAATGGGATGGAATATCGAAGCATGACTCGAAGAGTAAAAGAGCTACATACTCCAAACTTTGCAAGTTCTCCTAGAGTATAAACAGTACATATAGTTGGATGACATATATGTACACATTTATTCATCAGTTAATCTGAAAGCACTGAATGTATATATTAAAAGGTTGGGAAGTAGGAAAGGCCCAGCAGAAGTGCGCAGTGAGCGCCATGCCAGTCTTCTAGTCGGGCAAACTCGACTTGTTTTTTGCTTTTGCTTTGTTGCGCTTGTTGATCAAATTTAATCATATTACACATATTTCGCTCTTTATGCTCTGTTACCCCATATGGCTGTCGGGCATTGCCAGAGCACTGTGCTCCACTGTGCTCGCCTGTATTTGCTGTTGTTTACATGCACACCGACGGCCAAATGGGCAAAAATAACCAATTTGAAAATTAATGCCTTTAGGATATTATTCATAAAACTCGTGTACTGCAATGTTGTTGTGTTCACTGTGAGTGTGTGTGTGTTCGGGAGTGTTCGGGAGTGTTCGGGTGTGTGTTGTTTAAAGCAACATGAGCCTGTGTTCCAGAGAAAGAGAGAGCGAGCCGAAATGAAAGCAAATCAGCTAGGAACTGAAGCTGATGCACACAGGACTCGTCCTGACCAGCGCACCCTGCCGCCCTGCGGCCTCGCCAACATATTTATGCATGTAGATTTTTGGTTTCGCCATTTATGCTTCATTCCGTGCTCAGCTCTTGGCTAGATGCGCCCCTCTCCGGGCCCGGCTGGGTCCGGCTTGGCTTGGCTCTTTTGTGCTGTAATTGCCCTGCGGTATTTGGCGCGTTGAAGTTTTGCCAGCGACCGCAAAAGTTTATTGCGCGCTATAAATTTAATGCAAAAGCATTTGACTGAGGAGACAGGACGACGACGACGACGAGCCGGCGAAATATGCAGCGAATGCCATAATTCAATTTAAGCAATTTTCGCTTAAATGCCACACAAAATGAAACTGAAAGTTTTGAATGGCGACCCAAAACCGAAGCCGAAACCAAAAACTAGCGCCAGCCTTTAGCAAAAGAAATGCCTGCAATTTGTTTGAAATTCAGTTCAAATAAAATGTGAAATCAGCCAGCTGCTGCTGCCAAGGTTAAAGGTCGGCCGCGCCAGTCAAACAGTCAAGCAGTCAGTTAGCCAGTCAGTCTCTCAGTTGCTCACTCGACGGCTCAGTCAGGCGGCAGGCGGCAGGCGGCAGGCGGCAGGCGGCAGGCGTTGTGTATCGTATCAATGCGCGGCTTGGCATAAAATGCTGTAGGAAATGATTGCGGAAATTACACTAAATCGCAGTCAGCCGCGACACACACACGCACACACACACGGATCAGCCGTTGCCGCCGCCAGGCAAATGCCAGCGAATGAAGGCCCACGCGGCGTATGAGTAATGCAAATATTTGACTGTGGCTGGCTCTGAGACGTCTTTGATATTCCTTCATACGCGGCATTGTACATTTTTTATGGGACAAGCAAAGCCTTAGTCAAGTTCCAAAAATTATAAAGCAAAATATATTGTGCGAAAAAAATACAATTTTTAAAAAGATTGTTCGGCTACGCATAGTTAAGAATTATTTCAAATATTTGGATCTGAGTTTTAGTTTTCTCGGTAATAATATTTTATGAGGCATCAGCAGTATTATAATTTATAAATTATAAAATTGTATATATTTTAAAATACTGTCCTTAATTTGAATAATTTATTTAACTATATAGTCGTTCTTACAATAGAGCATTTGCACTTCGTTCCGCATTGCGGTTGGAAGAATATTTAATTTTTGCTCCCGGCTGCTGTCACGATTTAAGTAAATAAACGTAACAGTAAATATAACATGTTGCTCCTGTGTTGGTGTTTGCTGTCAAGTGGTTTTTTGGCAATCTAAAAGTTGAATAAGACTTTCACTTTAATTCGTGGCACGTGGCACGAGGCACGAGGCACGAGGCGTGTTGGCCCCCAAAGAGTTGCAAAAGTCAAATATGCCACAAAATAAAAAAAAAAATGGAAGAAATTTGACAACAAAAAATAAAATAAAGAAAAAACCCAAAAGGGACATTTGATACAAGACACACGCGCACACACACACACACCCCTACTCACACACACACACTCACACACAGACACACTCACACCCGCACACTGTCAGCCCGATGTCTCTTTTGGCGATCATTTGCCTTGACTTTTGGCCGATTTTGAGCGAACTAATTTATTTTGGTCGCGTGTGTTAGCCGGGTCAAAGGCATTGTGGCCGTTGTGTTTATATTTGGCTTGGCTTAATGGCTTTTAACCCTTCCAACCCCGGGGCCAAGTTGAGCTGCCCCGCTAAATAAGTTAATTTACGCTTTCGGCCAGCTGCGTTTCGGGGCCAACAGCTGCTTAGCGAAAATAATAACGCTCAATTAATTAAATGCATTTTAGATCGATAAAATTTCTGCGCATTGCAATAAATTAACGTTCATAATTTTGTTCAGCTTTTCCAATTAAAACAACATAATTGCCAAATATTTGCTTAAAAAAGCCAAACAGTTTTTTATGATTTACTTAAATGTGGCAAAACGCAAATTAATAATGCAAACTGTTTGTTTAAGTTAGCTAATTTGAAACAAATGCATTTGAATAATGTTTTTATATTTTTCTGCAATTTGCATGCGCATAATTGCCTTATGTACACATGTGTGTGTGTGCGTGTGTGTGTATTGTTTTTTATTTAATTAAATGCATTTCAAGCATAAAGTTTGATTACAAATATTTTTCTAAATTTATTTGGCTAGCTCAATAGAGCATCGCAGTGGTGTTCAGTGAATTAAGAATGTAAATCAAATATATATTTTTATTTTTATACCCCTGAACCCATTAAAAACGGGTAAAAAGGGTAAAATGTATTTGTGCAAATGTATGTAACAGGCAGAAGGAAGCATCTCCGACCCCATAAAGTATATATATTCTTGATCAGCATCAATAGCCGAGTCGATATAGCCATGTCCGTCTGTCTGTCCGTCCGTCCGTCTGTCCGACTGTCCGACTGTCCGTCCGTCCGTATGTATGAACGCAAGGATCTCAGAACCTATAAGAGCTAGAGAAATTTTAGCTGTAGGTCCTCCTAGTCCATGCGCAGATCGAGTTTGTTTCCGATATTCGATAACTTGCCCCGTTTCCAAGTAATCGATAAAACTCGATATCGAAATCCTGTTATTGGGCAATTTTGGTAAATAATAAGAGCTAAAATCACCAAACTTGACATGTAGCTTCTAGAATATTATATTTATCAAGTATCTTTCATTTTATACCTATCGCCCGTTGGAAGACGAGTGTTCAGGGTATCCCCTCGTAGGGAGCTCCCGACTAGAACCTCTTACTTGTTTATTAATAGATTAGCTCAATGCATTCAAATGGCATATACGTATTTTTTTCAAAGAAAAGAAATTGTCTAAGTCTATAATATTAATTAAGAACGTTAATCAAATATATATTAAAAATTTTTTAATAGATTGGCCCAACGCACAAAGTTGGCATATACTTTCTTTTTTTTTAATAAAATATATTGCTTAAGTCTACAATGTAATTTAAAGTAAGTAACTGGCAAATTTAAAATTCTTTTGAAATGCAGTGAAATTTGCACAGGCCAATAAATTTAATTAGTTTAAGTAGCGCGCTGTGGCTTGGAGCAGTAACCAAAGCAGCTGCCAAAGCCACACGCAGTGCGGACCAGAAACTTTGCCAAATTAGTTCAAAGTTCAAATTTAGGCCAACAACAACAAAATATGAGAGTAACAAAAAAAAAACCGAACAACGGCGAGTCAATTATTAAAAATAATTACTTTGGCCAAGTTGCCACAGTGCAGGCATTTATGTATCTGCCACGCCCCCGCCGCCCACACAGCAAGTTGAAGAGCAAAAAGCAAGTTGCCCCATTTGTTATTTATAAAAGATTAAACCGCATAAAAGCAAGCCGAACGCTTGTAGAAACGCAGAAATTATAATAATATTTACCTAAATATGCCTACAGTCAGTTTTTCAGCCCCCCCCCCCCCTCTCTCTTTGTCGCGTGTATGTGTGTGAGTGGGTGGGGGCGTGGCTTATTTATGGCCACGTCCCTAATTGAATTGCAGTTTATTTGGCGGGGGCTACTTACACAAAAGCTGCCCGCGCAATGGCCACAATTTTTTAATTAACTTTCGGCGCTGCGGCAAAGGTCAGTTTGGCTGGAGTCTCTTTGGGCCCGAGTCTGGCGTGGGGCTGGTGAAATGATTTATACGAAACAATTATCAGTTTAAATGGCTTATTGAAATGCGCAAAACATTACAGCTGAAGCGCATTTCACCTGGCAGACTGCCAGCCAGGCGTCAAGCTTTAATTTTATTATTATTTTTTCCCAACGTAACAAGATTAAAAAGTTTCGCACGACAGCCGCCAGTTTTCCCCTTTGTTGTTGCCGCACGCCCTGGAAAAGCGGAAAACTCTGCCACGCTGACTCCGGCCAAAGTGTTTGCGATAGTTGCCGAGCTGCTGCATTAGCAGCGACTGGCTAAAAACTTGTTGCTTAATGAAAATTAAAATGGAAATCAAAATGGGGCCACGGTTCGCCAGCCCCAGCCCCATTCAATGAACCACAACCAGAACTCAAATGCAAATATCCAATACAAATTCAATAACAGATAAACCTAAAATCACAGCAAAGCACAAAAGTCACAAAAAATGCACAGGGAACTGCAATTGGCCGGGCGAAAAAAAATCACACAAAATATCTAATACACTCGCCTGAAATATAAATATGAATTAAATATCAAGTGCAATTTCGGAAGATTTCAAAATATATATCCTGACGTTAACTTTATAAATAAAATATTTGATTAGTTGCATTGAATTCTACTTGAAAACTTTCGTCATAATTCAAAGTTAATGATGCGTTTATTTCATAAATTCCTCAAAATGACAATTTGACAACTTGCATCGAATTTTATATATTTTAAATTAACAAAATGTGTTCCAAGTTTATTTTGTGCATTTAAAATATATGAAATCCATTTGAAATCTGCTAGCTTTGCCAAATGTTAAGAGCTGGAATATTCTCACATATTCCAAAGTAAATCTCTTGATCTCTCTGCTTTTTAACGTACACCTAATGGAACCTCTCGCGTTCTGGTATTTTTATGAATTTCCTAGCGAAACACGCATGATGATGCGACGGCGGTATAAGCCCATATTCTCCATTTGTGGTCACCGACGGCCTGATGTCCTCCATGTAGTGCATAGGGTAGCAGCAAACCTTTTTATGCGACTCCTTCCTCGGCTCGTCGATGGCTGCCGTGTGCACGCCACGCAGTCGATGCATTTGGGCGTATTTCTTGAACTCCGCCTCGCCGTATTCGTCCAGACTCTCCTTGTAGACCTCGCCATAGCGCGCATAGTGTTGGCCCTGTGCTTCCGGATACCAGGAGTACAAATCATTCCAACGATCGCGCAGCTCTCTGATCTGCCTGGCAACGAGGCGGTGATGCTTCAAATGTTCTGTGGTTATGACTTCCTTCATTACTTCGATCGTTCGATCCGTGGCTCGAATGTTGAAGTTAATTCTCTATTCTTGCTTTGTTAACAATACAACAACAACAAAAAAAAAACAGAGCAAAAAATAATTGGTTTCTCAAAAGAAAAGTTATTAAAAGCCAACTGTCTATGTAAATGTTTAGTATATCAAACATGCATATTTTGACGTTCAATATAGTTGAAAACGTGATTAATACAAAAATCTTGTTATGCTTAAATTATTTTGATCTCTTCTGCATTTAATCTTTATATAAAATGTGTTCCGCATATTTCAATTTGACGTTCAATATTATTTAAAACAGGATCAAAACTAAAATCGTATTATTATAAATTTATTTTTGTCTTTTAGGCATATAATCTTTTTTTTAAATGTGTTCCCCTTAATCACAATCTGTTGATGAGGAGGTTAATAAATTTATTATATCGATATAGTATAAAAGTATATCTGACTTCCGTAAGGTCTATAAATCAGCAATTATAATAATTTCATTTATTGTTATAATGTTAGCTTCAATCTTATCTAAAGAAAACTTTCGTTAATCGAGAAAAAAAAGCTCCCCATTTGAATGTGGTTTTCAAATTCAATAATTTGATTTATTACTTCAATTATTTAAATAATTTGTGTGCTGTCTAAATGAGAACTATTTAAAGCGTATTCCAAATTCGCTGAACTTTTAGGCATAGGTATTTTTTTCAAATATTTTTTTGTGTATTCAGTCGTTGGCTTTTCATTTCTGGCCACTTTTTATTCACAATCAAAGCCGAGCGCATCAATTGCATTTCAGCAAATCGAAAATGGTCGCTAAAAATGTGACGAAAATAAAATAAAAATTTAAAACAAACTGACAAAATGCGCTGTGGTCAGCCAAAAAAACTGCAGACAGACGTCCATTTGGATCTGTTTAAAGTGTAAATAGTTGTTGTTGAAATGAAATGCAATAAACTGTGCGTAATTTGTGCTGCAAGGCCCCGAGAGCATGCCATATACATATATAATTCAGCGACAAAACAATTAAAACTACATGCTGAGCGAATGCAGATCCAAATCCAAATCCAAAACCAGATTCAAATCCAAGTTCAAATGCCATGCAGGGCGCAGTCAAATGCGAAATGAGTTGCTTCCGCAATGACATGCCAGCTGTGTGCATATGGTAGGAGTGAGGGGGAATGGTGGGGAGGCAGGGGGCAGGGGCTGGCCAGACAGTTCGGGGAGTGTCACGTTCTGTGTGCCATAAATTTAGCATTATTCGTGCATAGATTCTCGTGCATTTCGGTTAATAAAAACCGCCAAAAAGCAACAACAGCAAAAATCGAAAAATAAAAACATTTCGGAACGACAGCAAAGGGAATTACAACAACAACAACAACAAAAATACTGGGGGGAAAAGAAAGTACATTTTGATGGGCAACATGGCGTATGCTTGACCACATCCGACTACACACTTCCGCGCATTTGGTGTAACAAAACCGCGCGCTGGTTGTTAACAAATGACTCGATGTGGTCGGCGCATTGCCAACGCTGCGGGTTCAAACAACACCAACAACAACAACAACAAGAGGGAGCTGGTTGGATATCTGTAATGACTCATTTTCATGGCGGGTTTGGCTTGGTTTTCGCTTTGGTCTCCGCTGGCTTTCACATTAAATCACATTCAAATAACGCGCCGCGTTGCTGCTGCATCAGCACTTGGCATTAGGAAGCGCATCCAGCGAGCTGGACAACAGTTTTAAGTTGCAAATTACAACAGCATGTCGCCTCTTTGCGCTCGTGTTATAATGTTGCCTCCACTCCGGGCGGCAGCTGCGGTCAAAGTGCAGCCATTAGTCGTCGCCAAAAATGAAATCTATGCCTCTGCCTCTGCCCCTGCCTGCTACGTGCGCGTTCTTTAATTAGTCGCCGGGCAAACACGCCGTATAGAGTCCGGCTGCGTCGTTCATTCAACCGCACGGCAAGATTTCGCTATCAAAGGGTTATCGCACGCGCCCTGCCCGGCCAACTGTAATTGGCCTAAGTACGCGCACACCTCAGGGCCAAGTGCGACATGCGAGACACGCCTCTCCCAGTCTAAAGGCAACATGCTCTCGACCAGGCCCTGCAGTTGAAGCCTGATGGCACAACATGTTTCGTTTATGCATTGGAGCGCATGCAGGCGCATGTTGCCATTAAATGCTGACTGCCTGGCGGGCAATAATGGCGCGAGCTCTAAATCCATTGGCAGTTACGGACAGTCATTGGACGGGCAGCAAATGCATGTGCCACTCGAAGTCATGTAAATAAGATAGAAAGATATGGATATGGCCAGGCAAGCCCTTAAAGGCATTCTGCTATCGCCCCAGAAAATATCTCTGTTGTGTGTTTAAACAGCTCTCATATTAGCAACAATTACATGGAAAGACAAGTAAAAGGAGTGCCCGACTTGTGGATACCCTGAACCCTCTTCAACGCGATGGCTATAAAATATTTAAGATACTTGATATCAATTTAATATTCTAGAAGTCAAACTGTGTGACTCTGGCTCTAACAACATAAGAGATTTGCTAAAAAAACAGGACTTCGATATCGATGTTTACCGATTGCTTGGAAACGGGGCAAGTTATCGTTTATCGGAAATAAACTCGATCTGCGCGGGCACTAGGAGCACATACGTTTAAAATTTCAATTCTCTAGCTCTTATAGGTTCTGATACGGCCTGACGGACGGATGGACGGGCGGCCAGGCAGACGGACATGGTTAGATCGACTCAGCTAGTGATGCTGATCAAGAATATATATACTTTATGGGTTCGGAGATGCTTCCTTCTGCCTGTTACATACATCCTTTCCACAAATACATTATAGCCCTTGTACCCATTTTTAATGGGTTCAATCGCTGTAGATACATAAAGGAAACGGTTTCTTTTAGTTAAGCTTGGGTCTTGGTTTGTTACCATTTTCACATTTTCATAAGACAATAATACAAAAGCTATTTGCATAGATTGTTAACTGAATATCCAAAATTGCAATTGTTTAACTGCTTTTGCTTGCTGAAAAACATTTGTCTTATTTTTCGATCTTAAGCAAAAGGAAACCCTTTGCGAGCTGGGATATATTTTTTTGGTGCCCGCAGCTAATAGTTTTTAATGTGCGGCAAAATGGCAAAACTTTTGCGCCGCCGCCCAAAAGGTCAACTACATGCGCCAGATAAACGGAAAAATCTGGCAAAGTTTTTGCTTAGCCGTTTTCCGGAAAATGCTGACACTGGCAGTCGCCGTCGCAGTCGCCGTCGCAGTCGCAGGCGGCCAATTGCAGCCGCTGGCAGCAACAATTTTGAGTTTATCACACGTGCCAAATTGTGCGGCCAGCGCCTGCGGCTCCCCCCCAAAAAAAAAAACAGAACTTGCAGCTACGTGAGGGTTGAAGCTGCAATCCCCATCAGCTGCAACCAAGTGTGTGTGTGTGTGTGCGGGTTAAGCGACCATTTTTTGATTTATGCAGCGGTTCAATGCAAAAAGTCAACTGGGCAAGGCATGCAGCGCATAATTTATGTCGATTTTTGTGTTGGTTCCAGTATGAAAGATGAAACCCAATTCGGTTGCTAGAGCAAATGCGGCTAATTGACTGATTTTTGGGGGTCTAAGCATATTATCTTATTTCCCTTGCCATGAACCAGCCGACAGACAATTGGCCCCTTCTGTTGAGGTCGACAGCGATATACTCAATCATTTATTGGACGTCGGTCGGAGTTGCGTGATATAAAGAACTTTTTGCATACATAATAAATTATTTAAATAACAAATTATTTGTTTCTTGTATGCAAGCACCTTAAAGTATATTATTACTCGATTAGGACGACGTGCTGAGTCGATCTCGGAAAGTACAAAAGCTATAAGCTTTATATATGAGATACATATTGTCAAAAGACGGATGGAGGGTAGTATAAGATAGAAGTAGAAGAAGTAGAATTAAAAGACACATGCTGATAAATTTTAATAATGAATTATCGATAGTCTGATTTATGATGTTGAACAGAGCGGACATGGAGAAAAAAAGATGGCATAAATATAGAGTACATATATCAAATATAAATAATAATCATAAGTAATAAATAATATATATCAAATATAAATAATAATCATAAATTATAAATAATATATAACAAATATAAATAATAATCATAAATAATAAATAATAATCATGGAATGTCATTTTGACCATTATTCTCTTATACCATGCGCTAAGCCAGTTTATCATATTGTCATATATGTCGATTCCTTCGCCATTTCCCATATGTATATATATATATATATGTATATATCATATATGTCGTTACCTTCGCCATTTCCCATCTGTATATATATGTATATATTTATCATATATGTCGATTCCTTCGCCATTTCTCATATTATCTTGGAACTGCATTCATATTTATGTTCCTGCTCAATTCCAAGATCTGGCTGGACAGTGTATTGATGAAGTAGTGTACTCGCTCGTCCCGTGAAATTGTAGAAAAGTTTTTGCCAGTGCCAGTTTTTTTTACTATTACTGTTTGGCCTTTATTTAGCCAGTTTCATTGTTATGCGATTTTGTGGGCCATATTATTGTTACGGTTGCCAGTTAACCACGCTTCAATGCCATCACTTGGCATCATTTTTATTCTGCTTCTGATTCCGATTCCGATTCCGATTCAGATCCCGACTCCAAACTCTCACTCAGCCCCTGCGCGCACGTAACTTAATTCAATGTTGCGTTTCAAATTGAATCTGTTGAAAGAAAATAAGCTAAAGTTTCTTCTCGTCTTTTTTTTTTTTTGGCTTGTTCAAATAAAAAGCACAGGAAATTTCCATTAGATTAAATATAAATAATAAAAAAATAAAAAAATTAAAAAGAAGAAAAGCTGCCAAACAATGGAACTAAATATTTCAGGGGCTGCTTCGCAACTTAATTGAGCAATGACAGCAAATGTGTTTTTTTGTTGTTGCTGTTTTTACGTGTGAGGAGGTTGGATGGGAGGAGGGGAGGAGGGGAGGAGCTGACCACATGAGCAATGGACGCAGCTGGCCAAAAGTCAACGGAGCGTCCACCGAAGGCT